GAGCCCTGACTTAAACCCAATTGAGCATCTCTGGAGAGACCTGAAAATGGCTGCTCACCAACGTTTACCATCCAACCTGACAGAACTGGAGAGGATCTGCAAGGAGGAATGGCAGAGGATCCCCAAATGCAGGTGTGAAAAACTTGTTGCATCATTCCCGAATAGACTCATGGCTGTATTAGCTCAAAATGGTGCTTCTACTAAATACTGAGCAAAGGGTCTGAATACCATGTGATATTTCAGTTTTTCTTTTTTAATAAATCTGCAAAAATGTCCAAAATTCTGTGTTTTCTGTCAATATGGGGTGCTGTGTGTACATTAATGAGGAAAAAAATGAACTTAAATGATTTTAGCATATGGCTGCAATATAACAAAGAGTGAAAAATTTAAGGGGGTCTGAATACTTTCCATACCCACTGTAGTTTAAAGAATGGTGACAGAGATCGCTGTGTACCATGCCAGTCCTAAACCTCCTTAGGTGCTGGTTTGGGATAAATCTTCTGACTGCTAAGGCTACAGCATGTCCTTATCATTTGCATTTGTTGCTTTAATTCTTAAATCATTTTTTGCCTTTAATTTGTCACACATCTGTATTTTCAGCGGAAGCTATTCGCGGTAAGGTCTGTGGAGTATGCAGAGTAAACGGGAGCAATGATTATGGAAACTGATGTCCCTCTTGAAATTTTAAAATGTCATTTTCCAGTGCAGATGGTTTGGATGGGTTTAAAAAAATCCATCCACCTTTCTTGTACTGGGTGTAGGCAAAAATCTCAGAGACAAAATCAGATACCCCAAAACATGGGCACAAAAAGCAGAAACTATCTGCATGATATACATGTTTTTGTAAATTAAATGAACTGACCCTTTAATGACATCTTTTATTGACTGGAACAAGTAGCATTTTCCCCCAGGACACATTGTAGCCCTCAGAAACATGTCATCTTAGTTTAGTTTCACTAACATTTGAATGGGGAGATGTTAAATAACCCATAGCTACAGTATTTTCAGTGTAGCTCATAAAGTAAAAAGGGTACAGATGACATCATGCTCTGAACATGCTACATACAATACTCTCTGTGACAGGCTCTATTTCTAGGCCTGACCAGGGAGAGAACAGCAGGTCACAGAGGGGCACAGGGCTAATGTGGCAGTCCTTGGGACACCCCCATCACCCATGCTACTGCCCTGTGCGGTCACACATGTTCAATTATAAACTCACATGACTCTGTTCCACAGGGAGATGATTTTGTGACCAGCGAGCAGTCAAAATGAGGGTTGAGCATCTCATTAGCACCATATAAAGAGATGGAGGGAGGGATGGGCAAGACAAGAGAAGGAGGGGGGAATTCTTCCAGCTGTTTTGCTAATAGCACTGGAGTGAAAGTGAGAGAGTGATAGTCAAAGAGGGTGCAGGAGAACTAAATGGGCTGATAGGAGGAAGCCAGTGAGTTAAAGAAGCAAAGGATGGGGTTAAAGTAAGAGAAGAGAATAGAAAGTGGAAGAAAAGTTCATCCTGGAATGAACTAGACTATCACAGCCGACGGGGGAGGAGAACAAGAAAGGTAAGTTTCTTCCTCGTTCTTTGTTTGTCCTGGAGCTAATTAGCAGCAAATGCTCTGGTTTGTTTAATCTTTTTTTTTTCTCTTCTGCTTGCTTGCGTTGTCCCAGTGTCTCACACCCACTTTTCAGATCATCAATATGTGTGTGTGAGTGTGTGTGTAACTTTAAGTACCAAAGGAAAATTGGGTCAGTGAGAGAGGAGAGGGAGAGGCATGTGTTAGAGGAGGAGAGGCACACTGGGAGAGCAACAGAGAAATGGAGAGAAATCCTTAGCAGCCCTTGAACTCCAATAACAAGTGGTCACTTGAGCAATCACTGGTGATTCAGAGAGAAATGTAAGTGCGGTTGCTCACATGCATGACTGCTCTGCTGCCACTTTTTACTACTTTTTGGCTTGTGGATGGAGTGTTTGTGGCATTAAGCACTTTGACATGAGGGCTTGTGTGTGATAAATTGAGGCTGAGCAGCTGAGTCCTTTTTAAAAACTCTGCCATTCTTCTGTACGGACCAAAAAAAGTCAAAATGTGACTAAGTAACGCTTTAAGACTTTCTGCCATGTTTCAAATGATGAAAAGATATGATAATAAAAGTATAAAGACCAGCTAGCTGAGAGAAAGAAGGTCAGAGATGAGCCTGACTCTCTGTCATGTACAGTCTTGTGATGAGGTGTGGTTAGTCATTTTCATATTACTCAGCCAGCACTGTGTCAGCCCAGACTAAATTAAGCCCAAATACGGTGGTGCCCTTTGCATGTTTGTGCATGCATCTCCCTGATTTTGTTCAGTCCACTTTCTCCCTCAAATGTATCTGCCACATTTGCTTTAGATGCTGTGCAAAATGTCTCCTATCTAGACAGATTGTACATTTCAAATCCTGCCTCTGTTGCACTCTTTGCGGTCATGATCTCTGAATCAAATCGGTAAAGATGTCAGAGAGGGACACACTTGGTTCTAGTAGGCCTTGTGTTAGTCAGAGCAAAAGGAAAGATGACCTTTCCCTGCTGTTGAAGAATGCCGGAGCAGCTGTTCTATCCCTGCTGGCAGATCCCACCCCTGTGAATTCCAGTCTGCCACAGCGCTGACACTCCCCTTATTCACACAGGGGTTCTGGATGTATCTGAGCACTGTGCAGTGTAAATAACAGCTAGTTGGGACCGTCTAAGTTATTAAAGCGATGACACAACAAATTGTAAGGTTTCAGCCACCAATTATTTTCTATCAGACACATCTGCCATACAGATGGAACAGCTCTGTTTCTAAGGAAATCAGCCTGATATACTGCACATTACACCGTGCAGACGTCCAACCTGTTGCATGATAATCAGCGTCTACTTGCCATGCCAGTAAAAGCTGTCTTTCCTTGCTTGTTATGCATGTTAATAACCAGTTTGGCAACTGCCTTACACCACATAAACAGCTATTTTTTGCTTTCTGATACAGACACCTTTCTAATAATGACGAGCCTCCCCAAAGAGCCACCCGAGGATGCCAACAAGCAGAGCTTCTGGATGGTGAGGAGAATACTTGATCAAATCTGAGAGCACTACCACCATAGGAGTAGCTTTTTAATTCAAAACAGTACTCATGTGTGTGTACAACTCATTCTCTCTGCCTCTCCTCCAGCCAGGGAACTATGTACATACAGTTCACAGAACTGACCAGTGCTTCCAGGCCTGCAATGACATTGTGGCCTGCTTAAGGGAGAGAGCAAAGGTAGAGAAACAATACGCCCAGCAGCTCAGTCAGTGGAGCAGCAAGTGGAAGTCCATTGTGGATTCCCGTAAGTAAAAAAAGCTGCATGTTGGGGAGCCACAGTGGCCCAAAAACACAACATAATACTCATTCCCAGGCCTTTTTGATCATCTCTTCTCTCAACAAGTTCAAATTGTTGCTTGATTCTTATTAAATGACTGCATCTGTGCTTGTTTGAAATTTTCCACTGGACAAATGGAGGTTGTTATTTCTTTATGGGTTCCATGACTCATCTCTGTGCGCTTTGCTATTTCATTCCTCAGTCGATGTTTTTTCCTGGTTCCCCAGGGCCACTTTATGGCTCCCTCATGAAGGCGTGGCAGTGTTTCTTCACCTCCACTGAGCGTCTGTCTGAACTCCACTCCTCCATCTCTCAGTCTCTCATCACAGAGGATGGGGAACGAGTGAAGACCTGGCAGAAAGAGACCTTTCCAAAAAAAATCTTCTGTGGGTTCAAGGAGAGCTATGACAACAAAACAAGTTTTTCAAGGGCTCAGAAACCATGGTCCAAAAAGCTGTTGAAGGTCTGGAATACACATCATTTATATTTCTAAGTGTGTGTCTGTGTGTATGTACATGTACTGCACTTGCTAGTGCTGGAGGTGCTAAATAACAATGATAGTCAGTTCACAGGGTTCTTGTTAAAACCCTGGCAGCAAGTGTTTTGAATGAACTGAACATCCATTTGATGTTCAGCTTTCAACTCCATCTCACCATCTTCATTAACAAATGGAATTTCCAAACTGCAGATATTATGCATATATTTTGTAACTTGGATGTAACTTAAATAAAAGTGATAGTCAAATTAACAAAACTAATATTTGAGACAGGTTTCATGTTAGTAATCAATTAAAACAAACTAAATTAACAAAAAAATCAACATTGATTTGAAAGTGTGGACACTTTAGAAGTATAAAATGCAAATGCCATTTAAAATGGAATTAGGGTGGTTGTGCAAATTGCACATTGCTGTGTTATGGGGTGTTGTGTGTCAGACTAATTATTGGCCAGGCGCAAGCATGACTCCAGCTGCATATTAAACAAATGAAATATAAAATGTTAATTAGTGAGCTTTAGAGTTTCTGGTAGGTATGTTTTGTTACCTCTGGACAGAGCCAGGGGCTCTGTTTCCCCCAGGTTCTAGTCTTTATGCTTTAGCTTCATATTTAATGGAAAGCTAGAGAGTTGAGAGTAGAGACTTGATTTTCTCATCCAACTCTAGAAGAGAGCATTAAAGTATATTTCCCAAACTGACTTTTCCTCTAAGGAAATAATATGTATGTGTGTGATTGTGCATTCTACAGCTGGAGAAGGCCCAAGCTGCATATCATAAGTCTTGTCAGAAGGAACAAGCAGCTCTCGATAAAGAAAAGCAAGCAAATGATAATTCTGAGATCAGTCCAGAGAAAAAGCAGAAGATTGTGGAAGCCAGAGAGAAGGCCACAGAAGAGAAAGTAAAGGTGAGGGGAGATGCTGACTCACTGCACCACATCTATGGTGAAGAATAAAGAATTAATTCACAGTGCATCTAAATTTCTGATTTACCACATGCCAGATTTAGACATTCCAAGAACACTCTAAACATAAGGCCCGGTATCAAATTTCTGTTCCAAGAATTTGCCTTGTATGGACATGTGTTACTGTTACTCTACTCAGCATGTATGAAGCCCAGCATGGGAACAGTGAAGACCACAAATCCTTTATATTTTTGGTCCTCCATTAAAGAAACACCTTGGATGTTGTTCCTGGTATTTTCATCATAAAACCGTCCTTGTGAACTGCCTGCAGGCTAAAGAGCGCTACGAGAGCATGCTGGAGGATGTGACATCCTACACACCTCGGTACATGGAGGAGATGGAAGCCATTTTTGAACAGTCACAAGAGGAGGAGAGGAAAAGGATCAGCTTTCTGAAGCAGGCTTTCCTCTCCATCCACAGACATCTGGACATCACCAACAATGAGAGGTGAACAGTGCCACTGGATGACTGGGAGTTTGTAAAGCATGTGTGGATGGGAAGGTTAATAAAGTGCAGGTGTTCACTGTGTTCCCCGTATCAGTGTGAAGGCAGTGTACAGTGAACTCCACAACACTCTGATGTCCATCAGTGAGCAGGAAGATGTCAAATGGTGGAAGAATCACCATGGTCCCGGCATGCCCACCGACTGGCCGAAGCTTGAGGTATGTTACAAAGCCTCACTCTAGTCTTAGATTACAAATAAGACTTTTTTTTATGAAAGTTAACATTTTGGTGATAAGGGGTTTTCACCATAACGTAGCATTTCTTGATCTCTGGTATTTCTCTTCTATGTGTTTGCACTCAGCCCCAAAATAACCTCAAGTTGTGTAAAGAGTTGCATGATTTTGCAAAGCATTTATTGTATGTTTTCCTGACCAACGTGCTGATAAATCTAAAACCCAAGCTTGTATCTTTTCTAAAAGGAGTGGGTCCCACCGGTAAAAAAGCTAAAAAGAAAGAAGAAACATCAGAGAGGAAAAGAGAGCCGACCGCAAGTATCGACTGTGGTGCTTTTCATATGTAGTAACTAAATGAATTTAGAGATGACCACAGATTTACAACTGTTTAAACATTCGTGTCTTCTCCTGGTAGTGTGATGATCGGGGGTGTGAAGGTGCGAGCTCTGTACGACTACACGGGAGAGGAGGGTGATGAGCTGTCCTTTAAAGCAGGTGACACAAGCGTGATGTTGACAACACTGTGTTATTCTCAGTGTTAAAACTACAGTAGGCATGATTGTTGTACAGAATTACAACCACTGTGTCAGTATCACTCTGAGTGGGGAGCCAGAGGTGCATCTCATCAATTTAGTTAAAGAAAGCACAGTATGTCTCATTTTTACATAAAGTAAACAGATTCTTAATAATGTATTGCTTATTATTACAGAGAACTACAGGCTTAATTTACTTTTTACTTGTATTTCAAATATTCTCCAAGCCTCTAAGTATATGGCCCTAACTTGTGCAAAAATAACAAAGGTACAGTATAAGATTTCACAGATTTAAGAGGTTTGTTCGGAGCCAACATCTAGAGGTCTTAAGAAGAAGTCATTCTAAGAGCACTTTAAGAGTTTACCAGGCAAAAATGGACAGACTCTCCAAAACTGGGTTGTTAGGACTTGAAAATCAAAGTACATTAAAACTGACTACATTAGTTTGCAAGTTCTGTAAGACATAAGTTGCTTTTTAATGAAACAGGGTTGTTTAAACGTCAACATGTTGAATCCCAGGAGAAAAATGCTGCATTTTAATAGAGTTTTACTTTTGTCAATATGAGCCGTTTAATTCCTTCTGACCTCAGGTGAAGTGTTCCTGAAGGTCGAGGAGGAGGACGACCAGGGCTGGTGTCGAGGTGTACTGAACGGAGGGAAGGAGGGCTTCTACCCAGCCAATTATGTTGAAGTTATTGAGTGACATCACTTTCATAAATGTATTTCTTACAAGGTTTTTAAGTCGTCTAAAAATAACTGTTATTATCATTTAACGTCTAAGATGTTGTTACACTGTGTGTGTCTGAGTTAATATCAGATATAATCTACCAAAGGTAAAAGTTTAAGGCCTTAATATTCTAACATAGTACTTGGTCTAAGTACTTCTGTGAATGAACTTATTAAAGACTAGAACTTAATGCTAGTGCCAGAGTCACACTGTATGTGTACACATTCGGCTGGCAGTTTATTGGGTACACCTAGTTAAAACTAACTCTATGGTTATTTTGGAGGCTGTAGTTTGAGCTGCTGTTGCTGAACGGTGTTTTTGTTATTTAACCTAGTCTCAATGGTATAATTGGAGTAGACAACACAATAGAAACACCTGCTTGGTGAGCTTAATAAACTGTCAACTCGATGTGTGAGTGTGAGTGAGTGTGTCTGCATGCATATGTGCATGTTAAGCCAAAAGAAAAGAGAATGTGAGATAGTATTTATTTACTGCCATCATGTCTGAGTCATTATGTCACTGAAATGAAGATAGCTAACATGAGGTTAACCCGAACACAGGTTCACAGTGATCTGTGCACACAAGAGTAATGTTTACTTGATATGATATATGTATTAGCACACAGAAGTTACTTTGACTGAGGAAATTGGATTTCAAAATAAAAGTGTGTTGGTTTTAACTCATCTGTCTCATTGACAATGTTTTTGCTGTGCTAGCTGGCTCTATTGGCCCATTACTTTGGTTCAGACTGAACCATCTCAACAAATTTATAATGGACTGCCCTGAAATTTGATCCGGCCATTCAAGGTTTCAAGACAATGACTAATGATTTTGGTGATCCACTGGCTTTACCTCTAGCGCCACCATGAGGTTGACATTTGTGGTTGTGAGTAAAATGTCTCCACAACTACAAGATGCGATGATGTGCTTAGTGAATACCTCAGGCAGCAGAAACCAGAGGAACAAGTGAAGGAAGTCCAGCATCCTGAGACTGTACATTAAGCGGAAGGAAGGAGGCCGAGGATTAGTGAGCGTCAGAGCCACTATCCAGGATGAAACAGCAAAGACCCATGAATACATCAGGAAGATGGCCCCGAGTGATGACATGCTTAGTGAAAACCTCAGGCAGCAGAAACCAGAGGAACTAGGGAAGGAAGAGCAGGAACCTTCATGGAAGGACAAACCTCTGCACGGTATGTACCACCATCAGATAGAAGAAGTGGCTGATATTGAAAAATCCTACCAGTGGCTGGACAAAGCTGGACTGAAAGACAGCACAGAAGCACTAATACTGGCAGCACAGGAACAGGCTCTAAATACAAGATAAAGAGAGGCAGGGACATAGTCATGGTGGACAAACAGAAGGACGGACGCTGCTCCACTCTTCTGTGGTAACACTAACATCCTAAGAATATGGCTGAGCTGAAGCAGTTCTGTGAGGAAGAATGGTCCAAAATTCCTTCTGAACATTGTGCAGGTCTAATCCACAGCTACAGGAAGTGCTTAGTTGAGGTTATTGCTGCCAATAATGGTTCAACCAGTTATTAAAGCACTGTTGACAATACTTTTTTCCACCATCATGTTGTATGTTTAAATCGGTGTTCAATAAAGACATGAAACATCATGACTGTTTGTGTTTTATCAGCTGATAAATATTGTTTGTTGATATTTGTGACTTTGGTGAAGCTCAGAACATTGGGGGCTGTGACCCCCAAACTGGGAGAGTGGCTCAAAAAAATCCCAGGAACAACATCTGAGATCTCTGTCCAGAAGAGTGCAGTGCTAGGAACAGCTGAGATACTGCACAGGACCCTCAAGCTCCCAGTCCTCTGGTAGAGGACCCGAGCTTGAAGGAAGGAATACAAGACCGCCCCAAAGTGGGGGGGCAAGTGGGGAGTTTATATATATATACATATATATATGCGTGTGTAGGTATGATCCACTTTTTCCATATTTTCTTCTAAGTTTCCTATAAATAATAAATCATTGGATTGTGTGCATTAAATAATTTCATAGACTAGTCAGGCAAAGTTGTTCTTTTACCTTAAGAGATTATCCATATTAATGATCTTGACCTGTGACTTTTCACCACCTTTCATCCACCCCACCTATTTTACTTACATTCATGAATGTTTAACTAGAGTTAGGTAGGTCATATGTGGCAACTCTCTGGCGTACCACTCAGCCCCACAGTACTGCGAATACACACCACAGTGGAGTTATGGAAAACTCTTGAAGAACCTGTCGAACAAGACGAAAACACAACAATTAATGAATGACGTCATATGGTATTTGAAACACTTCGGAGACCTGGGAGGATTTTATGTTAATAGTTGTACTATCTGTCCAGCATTTAATGGCCTCTGGACATGTAAGCAGATTTTAGATGCCTATTTTTAGAAGAATTGTTAATTTTATATTCAACATATAATAGATACAGGTTGGTTGAACTGAGCTTCTTTTACTGGAGCACTTCTTACAGGTATGTCAACATCTTACAAACTGAATGTGTGCATGCTCCCCAGAGGAATTGTATTGTAATTTATATGATTGCTTTAGATTGGATTTTAATTATGTACTTGGCTTAAAGAAGTCACTTATCCAACTTGTTGGGTTACTGGGTGTCATGTATTCATAAATCATGTCCTTTCGCTCACAGGCAGGTCGAATCACAATGGAATTTGCGTGCGAGTTTATTTATGTGCCACCATCAGTGACTCAGAAGGGCGGCCAGCGATTCAATGCCAAAGCCATTAAACGATCAGGTGCGATTTTTTTCAAACCCTCCTGGGCATGACAAGAAAGAATCTAAATTTATGATATTAACACTCATTTAAAAAGACAGATTTTTTTTTTTCTGGGTCCACTGTGCTTGGTTGTATTTTTCTCTGGTCCACAGATCACTAGCCAGGCACACAGACATTTTGTGTGTAGCTTCAGTGATTCTGACACCAGGAAGTATTTCAAAAGTGTTAACAGGACGAACACTAACAGTATCATCATTTTGAAGAAATCCCCCGAAGAGATACAAATCATTTACTTTGCATGTCACCTGCTGTTGGTTCTATTCTGGAGGATGTCAAATGGCATTCTGGGAAATGTAGGATGTCATTAACTGAAGTATAAGTTAAGAGAAGGATTAGTAAATCCCAATACCTAATCATAAAATAACAGATTTTTACATAACAGTGTAAAAGAATCTGCATGTGGATTTTCCCTTGCATCAGAGCTTTCATTGTGACTGGTTGCTTAAGTACCATTATGCAATTGGTGACACACACAACCTCTCTGTCTTCAAGGATCCTTTACAGATACTTTGCTCAGTAAAAGCCATCTGCCACCTGAGTCATATTTTTCTCACAGCACAAAGATCATTATTGCATCAGTTATTTTGTCTGTGCTCAAATTTCTTTTGCAAGAAATTAAACTAGCTGCCAATGTATGAATTTGTTTTTATCTTTATACCTTTAGCTCTCCTCCCGCCTGTTAACTGGATCCGCCCTCGCAACCCTCCTCCGCCTCCTCCTGCAGCAGAAGACAAATTACCAAAATCCTCCCCATCTCCCCCCAAAATGACTGAACAGCTGAAAAAGCATGAAGATGTGAAGAAGGCTGTGAAGCCCACTCCCCTTTATGAAAATGCTGAATTTCACAATAAAATGAAGGCAACATCTTCTATCAGTACAACACTTCAGCTGACGCCACCTCCTCGAAGGACAGGTACTATGAATGCTGCAATATGCACGTGAAAGCGTAAACAAATGTCTGAACACATTTAGTTCCTATGCTAGAAGCTAGTATCATCTAAAACACCAGAGATACAAGTTAGCTGCTGCTCCTTCAGTTACTGAAATTAATGCAGTTATTAAAATGTGTTTTAAAATCAGAAAACTGTCTCTGCTTTTTTGGAAACACCTTGCTCATACTGTATATTGACCCTTGGAAGCTGCCCAGTACAACCACAGTCTTATCAATTGGCCACTGTGTAGCTCCACTAAAAAAAAAACAAAGTGGTTTTATGGGACCTGTTCAAGGCCCTTTCAGCAGTGGAAATAGGCAATAGAAAGGGCAAGCACTGCTCTTT